GGGAGGCTGGTGTACAATACAGTGTTTGTACAGTGTCACGGTTCTACTGCGCATCCAAAATATGCGAGAACTTGAAAAACTGTCTGCCAACAACTAATCAAATTAGGAGTGAAACACAAATATAAGATTTATAATCCGTCGAGTTTCTGCTTGTTTTTTAAGGTAGTAATATAACCACTCGCACAGCATTTTCACATTGGTACTACCCACACTGGTACAGACAGTTTTAGTATATTTATAATCCCTTCGTTATGCAGGACATCCCTACTTTGTTTTAAAAATTGAAGGCTGCTGCATCTTTTCCAATCATGTAGTTAATTTTAAACGTTTCTTTGCGCCGTTTATTTTAGCCAATCAGCGCCGTGACACTGCCCCTTTAATAAGTATTTTTGTACTAGTCTGCTAGAATTTTCTGCAAGTAGAAATTTCTGCAAAATTACGTTCTGAAGTATTTCCACGTACGTTTGTAGAACAAGTATTTAATAACCAAAATTATTTGGACGGTGTCGAACGGCGTTCACTGAATTCCCTACTAGGGGGAACAGCGTTCCCCCATGGTTGATTTTGGCATGGGGGACGCTGTTCCCGTGGTAAAAAAGGTGGAGGGACGGCGTTCCCCCTGGAAAACATCATTGGGCATCACCATGCAAGCGACTGCACATCATCGATGAAAAACTACGCGAGCTCATACAATACGCAGATGTCACAATATGGTCAGGCGCTGCGAGCAGCTGTGTACAAATTTCAAATCTTTGTAACAAAAGGTGTTAGCATTCATAAGTCTTAAATAAGTATCAAATATTTATCACTTATTTACTGAGACCGAGGGAAACAGTGTGTTTTGTGGACCCGAGACCGTCGACGGTCGAGGGTCCACAAAACACACTGCTTTCCCGAGGTCTCAGTAAATAAGTGTTTTATTATATATCAATAGTCAAAGAAACAACAAATTAAAGAACAAATGAACGTAAATACATGAAATATTTTATTGTTAAAACGTTACATTAAACACTGGCTGCACTGCAGTTACTTAAAGCGAAAGTTTTAATTACGTACTAGGCTTGTCCAAAGGTCGCATCTTCACGTGATGGCGCACGTGATTTTTTTTGTTATTCGCCGGTCGATAACGTATTATCTCCCTCTCGCGCTGTTGCGAGGGAGACAGCCTAATTTCGTCACTCTCACGTGATATGCTCTCAACCAATAAAACACCAGAAAAATGCGACTTTGACTATTGATATATAATAAATTATTATGTTGTTTGTTTAACCATAGAATAAATGTACGTGACATATTTTGACAAATGCCATGGGACTGCTTGCAGGTTACACACGTAAAAACGCGCAAGTTGTTACAGGTTTGCAAACAAATTGTTACAAATTTGTTAACAAGCTGTCAACAAGTTGTGTTCGCACTGCTTGTTGGCCCAGTTGTTGTAACCAATTTTAAAGATGTGGAGCAAACACATTTAGTCTCAATCAGAATAAATTCGGTCAAATATGTCAATTACGCGAATGTGATTGTACCACTGAGCTATGGATTGTACACACGCCAAAAATCACATCTTGTACCAAGTTTGTCAACAAGTTGTCTTCGCACTGCTTGTCACAAATTGTCAACAAGTTTGGTACAAGCTGTTAACAACAACCTTGTTGTCGTTGATAGTATCAGACGTGTTGCAAGTTGTTCCAACAAGTCCGACACAGTCGTGATATAACAATATTGTTACAACCTTGTGTCGTCAACCTTGTAACATTCTTATTATATCATGACTGTATCAGATTTGCTAGAACAACCTTGTAACAAGTTTCAAGTTTGATAATGCCATCAAGCTTGTTACAAGTTGTTAACAGCTTGTTTCAATCTTGTTGGCAATTTTTCCAAAATAAAAATTCGAATCACTATATCTGAAATAAGATGAAGTATTGCTCAGTATCAAAACAAGATGGCAGCATGGTCATGGTCAGTTTGGAGTAAAAGACTCGGTAAACGATTAAGCAGTGATCAGAAAGCTTTTCTAAAGTTTGGAATGCCTATGGTGGTATGTAGTCCTTTCAATTTTATATATACATGAACCATTTTGAAAATATTAATGTACATAGTATTTTAATATCCCTGAAGTGCAAAAAAATGCAAATGACAAAGTTTTAATAATTAAAGAAGTATGGTGCTGCAAACAAGTAAACTTCGAGTATAAACTATAAAACATTTTGTTTGTAGCTTTTGGTTGTTCTTGGTTCAGTTGGTTTGTCTGAGTTCACAGAAATTAAGATGAAGAAACGTGATGAAAAAGTCCGAAAGGTTTGTAGTAACTTTACCAGCACAGCAGCACTCTTCGCTTGCAAGAACTTATTTCGCTGACCTCAGAATGACATTTTGCACAACTTATTTTCAAGATTCGTTTAGAAACAAACTTGGAGTAGGGTTATTAGGTTAAGGTTTAATAGAGTTGGTGTTTGGAATAGGGTTAGTGTTAGTATTAAAAACCGTTGCTAATTTGTTGCGTTTTGTCACTCTGAGGCCAGTGAACTTTCTTTTCCCTTGATGAGCAGAGTTATAAATATGGCATTAGACAGAGTAAAATAATAAAGTAGGGTGCATTAGGGTTTAATGCATACAGGTTGGTTACTGGACACATAGGCAGATAGTCTAGTTAACCCATTCAGTACTTACGCTCCCCTTGACATATTGATGTAGGGGGTATTGGCCAGGGCACAATATGCGACATACTTAATGGGTTAATTTGTAGCTAAATGTTAATTCTTATCCATTTGTGTGCAATGTCCATTAAAGGCTTATAACACGTTAAAATGCAGACAGACAGATTAACTACTTGAATGCCAAAACTGCACTTTCATCTTGATGAGTAAAATTGTCTGGTGTTAGACCGAGTAAAATAGAAAACATTCAGGTGTAATGTTATTATGGTACTTAAAGGGTTAATTAAAATGCATCATCAATGCTATGATCTTAGCAAAAAGAAACCCCAGGTAAGGTTGGTATTGACTTGATTAATTATTCTTTCAATTAACAGCTGAATTATGAAGAAACTCAGAAGTTACAAGTGAAGAAAAAAGAAAAGCCATTGACATTGGAAGAGGCTTACAAAGTATGTATTGTCGAATATAATGTAAAAGTATTACCTAGCGGTATGCATTCAGGCCAGTTGTGAAAGGATTTTAGGAAATCTCAAGATTTTCAAGAGCTTCATGGCTATAAGTATTACTAATACTGTAACTTCTATGTCATATCAGGCCTATATACAGGTGTAGCTATCTGTATATTCACTAATGGAAGAATATTAGTTTAGATCAGGGTTAATCATGCATTGTGCCATAATGTACGTGCCCTAGCTACCTTATTTTATTCTGTCTAATGCCAGACAATTTTACTAATCAAGGGAGGAGTACTGGTGCTCAATGGGTTAACAAGACACGTTAATGGCAGATATAATTGGCCGGGTTACTCTCCTCTTGACATTGTCAAGTAAATTAATTTAGTTCAGACAGCTATAGGGTGAAATAATAGGGTGCATGCATTTGGGCAAGTTGCAGCTCAATGGTTTAATAGACTTAAAATTTTGAAGATAATATATTGAACTCTGATTGAACCTGCTGTTGTAGTGACTATTTGTGATGTTGGGGTTAACTAACTTTGCTCCCTTGTGTGCTTTGGGGAATTGGGGGTTTCACTCTCAGTCCTCTTGTTTTATTAATCCTGGCTTATATGTTGTAGTGGATGTGTGTATCACGAGTCTCTGGCTGGCTAGGGTATAAATGCATGCACTGATTTAATAATATTTCTTATTACCTTAATCATTGATTTTTGTATGTTAGGAAGTTCAAAATATTGACATTGGTGATTGGGAAAACAAAAGAGTACCTAGACCTTGGTCTGAAGATAAGTAATATCATGACAATCCATGCATCAAAAACAAAGTACTAGGTTCATTGTACCTAGTACACATCTAGTGGCAGAGCGCAAATTAACGGTCTACAAATGACAAGTAGTACAAATTGAGTTTTTTGTAGGCTTGCATTGGCAGCATTGCGACATATATATTACTATTGTTTGTGGAAACACCACAGATCCGGGCTTATACAGATTGAATGCTTTGGAGTAATAAATTTACGTGGTGTTTCCACAAACAATAGTATTATACATTATAAATGTAAAAAGCTGATTTGTAGATAAAAAAAAACTAGCGGCCCGCAGTTTCACAGAAACTTTTGTAGGCCTATTTTTCGGTGAATTTTAAATACTGGAAATTTCTTGCCAAATGGTGTCAGATAAATGACCCATAAATTTCTTGGCAGCAAAACAAACAAAAGCTAGGCAGTCAAAAATAACTTTTGAAACACAAAAACAAAACAAACTAAAATTGCATTAAGTTTTGACGTACCATTTTTAAAAATAAGCCCTTAATATCATCTTCAAATCCGGCATTGACATTGTGCAAACGTTGAATTCAATTTGAAACTAAAACTCCGATCGAGGGATGAATAGATGTACACCTTCAGGATAAACAAAACAAAATCACGTAAAACTATGAAAAAAATTACAAAAATATCTCTTGCACGTTTTACGAGTGATTTGACTGTATACAGTAGATAGATAATTTATTGAGAAAATACTTTTGCAGCCAATTTGACTGAATTGCGTATTTGCACTATAATACTTTTAGCACCAATTTTTTCCTGCTACGATGATGCGCCAAATTGCACGGTATTTGCACCAAGTGATTGAATAAAGTCCAATTTATTAAACTCAAATGTTGGATTTTTTAACCTAGAAACCATTAATATTAGTTAATCAAGATGGGAGAAAGCTAAATTTTTTTGGCTTTTGCAATTTTTTTCAGAATTTTGTGACGTCATAAGTGAATGCAATGTCTAATATTATTTTTCATATATTCAATTTTAATAGTGATGGGTATTCTCTATTGATCTCCTTTAGTACTAAAACATTTACTGCCGCAATATTTATATGTAATTTCGTGTTGAAATATCATTGAAATATATGCATAAATGATAAGCGATAAATGTTGTTGGCAATCAAAATACTGTAGTCCATTTACGTTTTTCAAATTCGCAATTTTTAATGAAAACTATGTTGGAAAGCTTACATTCGTTATATAAATCACTGCATCTACAACTGCAGTAAACAGCTTACATTTATTTTATTTTATGGTAATTTTACTCTATCGAGGAGTAAACGACTACAAATTATTTGCAAGTCCAAGACTTTGTGTTGTATTTTACCAAATAGCAGCTATACAGTGGCGTAGCGGAGGAAGAGGAGGCCCTTAGGAATATTGGGTCCTGTTCACTGTTGTCATTGTTTGACTGAGATATTATATTTATATTGAATATTTATAGAATGTTCTGGAAAATTCCGTCTCTATAACAATGACAACAGCAGTCTCCAACACATGTAACAACTAATAAGATTAAACAGCGACCGTTGTCGTTAGAGGCTTTATTATTTAGCATTTATTTATTAATTTTTCATTTTCCCATTGATCCTTAACCTGCATTTTTTACGTTTTCTAATTTTCTGGGCGATAGGCCGTGGCTGATGGGGGCCCCTAACTGTCGGGGGCCCTTACTTTTTGAACTAACCCTAACCAATGAGCGCTACGCCACTGCAGCTATACTAATGCTATGATGTGCTATAATGTTATACAATTAGTCCAAGTTTGAGTTCAGATTGTTCAGATATAGTTGGAAATACGTCAGCCCTATGGGCTATGGTTATAGTGATTCGTTGAACATTTTATCAATAAACATAAGATGACTCTTTCAAACTATAATATTACAGTTTTTGGGGTCGAAAGCATTGCAATAGTAAATATACGTAACGTTTTCCACAAACCAAAATAATACGCCATTAAATAATTACGGTCGAATGCTCAAAGGATAATAGCCTTAAGCCCGAATCAAACGAGGATGAGAGTGCATGAGAGTTGGCAGTCACGTGACCTTGGTTATAGCTAATGCTTTCCCAACACTATCATGTACTGTATTTTTTTAAAGAGGCTGTCAAGTCCGTTCTGCTCATGCACGTGTTTTGTTTACATTTTTTGTGTCAAACAATAGATAATTTAATTAAAATTCCGATCTGTGGGCCTCCAAGTTAGGTCATTACGCATTCACAATATATCACGAAGGAGAAATTGAACTACTAAAGCAAAACTTAGCCCCAAAACAACAAATTTTAAATAAAAAACGCTAAGAAGCACTTCTTACAGAGATATGGACAAAATTTGATTGAAATTTGTACACATTTAGCTCCAAGATGACAAATTTGAGATTGAAAATGTTAAGAAACACATCTTTATACAAAGGTATGGACAAAATGTGTACAAATTTCAATCAAATTTTGTCCGTACCTCTGCAAGAAGTGCTTCTTAGCGTTTTCGATTTAAAATTTGTTTTGGGGCTAAAGTTTTGTTTTAGTAGTTCAATTTCTCCTTCGTGATATATTCTGAATGCGTAATGAGCTAACTTGGAGGCCCACATCGGAATTTTAATTAAATTATCTATTGTTTGAAACAAAAATGTAAACAAAACACGCGCATGAGTAGAACGGACTTCACAGCCTCTTTAAGAATTCTTTTTTTGAGCACAAATTCACACATACAGTTACAATTATAACTACAAATACGTGTCCACTTAAACATGCACGCTAAATAAAGTTTTATAAAGTAATTTCGGGATCAAACACGGTTTCTAGAATATGATTAAACTTGTTCTTGAGGTGTATTATCAAAAACTACTGGGGTCGATCGAGTTTAACAACACAATTAAAATAAATATTCTATTTTAGTTTCAACATAATTGAAACATCCATTAAACTTTTATCTTATTATTTTTTTTATTGAAATGGCCTCTGTCCAAAATTCGCACTGCTCAAAATAAATGTGTACGAAATATTTTCTTTGCACATAAAAGAGAAAATGCCAGTACCTACCTCAATCTATTAGGAATACTCAACGTTGACAATGTTTTTAAATGGAAAATTGCAATTTTTACATATAAAATCCTTAACAACTTGATACCGTCAGTTTTTGCAAACTCCATATCCATCGCATCTACCTGTCACTCGTATAATACGAGATTCTCGGCAAATTAAAACTTTAGCAGACCAAAAGCGCGCACAAATTACGGCAAAGACACTTCGTCATCCAATATTTGGGAAACGATAGACCTACATATTAAGCAGTCGACTTCAGTTAGAATATTTAAATTCAAATATACGAGAAAACTTATCCTAAGCCAAACGTAAAATCCAGACACTGATCCAGCCACACCAAACACGTCATGTTTTTCACAATTATGTAAACAGTCACAAAACAACAAATTTGTAAACGGTGGCCAACTCGAAAGCTTCTCAGCTACTTTGGCCACTGTACACGATATAATACCATAATTAACTCTTTTTTTCCTTCCATTATGATAATTTTTTGATGTTGTTAGTGTGTAACTATATCTTGTAAAACGTGTGAAGAATAAATTGAATCTCGAATCTCTGTAACAATGAGTGATTATTATCTATCAACAACTCTCGTCCTTGTTTGACCGGGGCTTGGAAAGAGGCTTAGTTGGTAGTAAATTGCAATGTTTCCGTAAAGGGCCGTTTAATTAAACGGGTCCAACATTGTTGGCCCAACAATTTCCAAATTATAATTTTTTCCACTGTTTCATTCACAAAGTATTTTAAAGCACAAATTTCCAATGTCGATAGTTGTTAAAAATATTTGAGAGTAAGCATTTACACCCCAACATTGCTGGGCCGTTTGAACGACAAGAGCATTAATAAATTTTGCAGAAATCGTGTCAATTTTGCAGAAGACTTTAATATATAAAAGTGGATCTTCATACTCAAGGTTGTGTAAAATCGATAACCTTATTGGAAAATTTGGTATTTAGATCTGAACCCTGTCTTGAACTAATTTCTACTACCGCATGTCCTTGTTGCTTAAAATCATATCACCATAATATTAAAATAATTCCTAAACTGCTGCAGTATCATTGCATATCTGTTAATCGCGAATTTATAAACTATCAATCCATTTGAGGATACTAAAAGGTTAACTCATTATGTACGGGAGAACTTCGGAATTCGGCGTTGACCAGATTTTTTGATTGTTTGTGGTTGACGTGAAGAACTTCGTAGACCTGGTCTTCTGGTATTGCCTTTTCTTTCCTGGGAATACAAATGGACATTTAATAAAAAATTTTGAACTTACTTGTTTAATCCTAATTTTCAGAGTTTTCCATTGTAAATATATAATTATCATACATATAATAAGTCCATGATGATTTCTTGATGGACGAACCATTGCAATTAATCAATAGTTGAAGGAAATTATCGAGTGGAAATGTACATAAGTTTATTAGACCTCGCCAGGAATATCGTGTTAGGCTTGTACCATCATTAATATACACCATTCTATCAAATCATCAAATAAATCTAGTAACATTGGTCCTTTGACTCAAGTGTTGCCACTGTTGAGATTAATAGACATTGCCTTTGTGATTTTGTCTGAGCAATTAGTTCCTAAGGAAAGTACAATTGAGGAATCAAGTTGGCATAGATTTTATTAATGTTTATTTAATGTGTATAAAATGACCATTTGGAATCAGTAAATCCTTCATGTAAATCACTAAATCCCTCTTTATAAGTAGGATCTGTGGTCGAGGTTGCTTGTGAAATACACTTTATTTATATAAAGCTTGGTATGTTGCATGTAATTATTGGATTGCGTTGAACAAATTCAAGTTCGTATCGAAATTAACTCACACGAAATACTCTTTTGTAATGACAAACGTTTCATCCCAGCCAGTATCAGGGGAATATGATGACAAATATGTTCATTATAAAAACCCTTATTTATGTCAACAGAAATCCCTGAAAAAGGTACAGATTAAATTTGATAACATGTAAAAATGCAAATTTTACCTTCTCTAATTCTTCAAGATACTTCACAATCGAGTGGATGTATTCGAGAGTAAGGTCTTGTGGAATCTCATCTGGCTTTGGTGGTTTAAGCGGAAACCACAGAGAAGGTTCCTTCAGACAAGACTGTAATGATCTACTTTCTTCAGGCCAGTATCCTTCAGTTTCAGATGAAAGGTAACGGAACACGAACCGACGTAGTGCCTTCAAGAAGTTGTGTGGTTTCAACTGATCAATTTCTTTGTCCACCATAGCGCTAACTATTTCTTTCATGTCATCCGGCAACACGTCTTGAAATTTATCAGCAAGTCCATCAATAGCGCCGTCAGCAAGCACGTCTTCAAGAGCTTCGTAAAGTGAAGCAACGTGTTCAATCTTGATCGAACTTCTAGGTTGAGGTAACAGGTTTACAGGGAAGGGACTTGGTAACATATCTGACCATTTTTCAGCGAGCTCTTCCAAGGTCATATCTACGTCAAAATCCTTTAATTTTCTTTTCAACAGGAAAATGAGCACTTCAATATGTTGAAGAAGATCTTGTGCTTTTTTGATTCTTCGTTCTTTGAGGTTAGACAAACCTATAAGTACCTCCTCAGGCAAGCTTGGATTTTGTCTCACTAGCGATCGAATCTCTGTCAGTAAAGGACCACAGGAATGGAACAATTCTTTTGCGAATATAAACTTGTTGAGCGTTCCCGTAAGATAACATTTTCCAAATGCGATTTCTGTTGCAAGATTCATTTCTATTCGCTCAAAGTCATACGTAATTTCTTGGCCTTTACTATACTCGGGATTATTTTGTGCGTATTGGAACAAATCATTTGACCATTGGAAACTGATTATTTCTTTTTCTTTAACATCCTGAATGGAAATGGACACGACGCCACTGCAGTCGTCTTTTTTAAGGAAGCTTAGAGCAGGATGCTGATGTGACGAAAGAGACATGATCGCGTCTAAAATTGAATTTTGGCAAGAAACGAGGATTTCAATAGCCTTTTGAATGTAGATACCAAGGTCACCTTCCGTTAGACAGTATACTACATAATCCGTCTCCCTCAATCGCGGCATCTCCTTTTCTTTATCCACAAGGACTTGGTTAACTAGAGGACGCATTTTGTTCCATGCTTCTTTGAAGTTGTTAAACAACACATTCAAACTATTTGTTTCCTGTGCACTTCGGTCTAATTCAAGAAGGTGACCGGTGATGAAATCATTGATGGACTTAGATTCTGCATCTTTTCTACTAATACGGTGGGTTAATGCTGATGATACTAGACGAGACCATTGCAATAGAGGATGGAGGTTGCCAATGATCGCGAGTTGGTCAAATATGCGAAAGAACAACGTCAAGAAACTGTGCTTTGTTTGGACATCTTTGGGACAGTACAGGAATCCTGAACGGAAATCTTCGAAACTTGGCTGCTTTGTCACACGGAATAATCTTTTTAGTTGTTCGTTTTGTTCTTCTGGTTTTTCTGGATAATTGTCAAGTTCCAAGATGCTGTATTCAAGTGTAATTTGTTGACTGTCATCCATCTGCTGTAGCTTTATCATCTCTTTGATTCCCTTAGGTGTTTCACGCGTAGTCAAAAACGCCGTTTCTGTGAGCTGTGAAAACATAGCTTCCCATTCTCGACGCATCTTCGGCGTAGAGCAGTCGTTTGCTCCAAGTAGATTATTACTTCTGATAAGATCTGAACTTTTCTCAACCACAAGATGCATGGCTTTTATTGCAACATTTTTCTTGCAACTAAGGATTTTCATCAGACATGACAGATCATCTTCTAGTTTCTCAAAACAGAAGTCTGCTGGACTTGTGGAGTCGTTGTCGAGATCAAATCCACGCAGCAGATTTAAGGCAGTCGACAGTTTTTCCTCCGATGAAGTTCCAAGAGCAATTCCAGCGTAGTAGGATGAATACACGATGAGATGTAAAGCACGGTAGACGGCTGGATTCATGTGTTTTGTGCGGAGATCCCATTCAGCACTTGCACCAGTACTAGAGGACATTGACAACGTGGCAGCCGTTTCGGGAAATGTGTTGTTCCTTGCTTCGTCTTCAAAGACTTCGTAACAATGCGGGCATACTTTTTCATTGACATTACTTCTAAAAGCCAACCTTAAACCACATGTACAAGTAACACAAACGGATTCTTTGACAGATGAATGGTATTCAAATATGGAACGTACATCTTCTGTACAGTGGGCAAGAACACTTTCACATTTGACACGATTGGTAAAGTAGCGATACATTGGCAAATTTTCACTCAATACACTAGTGGCGACGACGCAGGCAATGTGAATAACTAACAGCGCCATTTCTACTTCTTCCACTGACGACTCGGGTGAGAGTTGTAGTTGTGGGCAATGG